TTTTTTTTTTTTTGGTGGGGGCAAATAAACTATTTTGCTTGATCTATTCTCTAGGTGTTGAAATGACCCTAGTTCTTTAGGGTGGCTAAGTGGGGTAAATAAAAAGATATTAGTTGTTTTGAGCTTGTATTTTTTTATTTATATTATTGTAAAAGATTCTTAAAAAAGTGAATATAAAATAACTAGAATATAAGGAGTAGAGAAATAATTAAATTATGGAAAGAATAGAGTAGTATGTTAATGTAAATTTTTTTGATATTTGATAGAGAATAATATGATTCAAAACATCAAGTGGGGATAATATTTAGGAAAAATAATATATTGATATAAAATTTAAAAAATGGTACAAGTACATAATAAATGTATATATAAGTGTAAATAGCACTCACATGGACTGAGATTCACTTGATTTTTTATTTTTAGTGGGTCCTACTTTAGTGGTAGGTACAACACCTTTTTGTATAATATTATGTACCTATAACATTTCTCATAATATTTTTGTGAGAATTGAAGGAGAATAATAAGATACAAACATGAATTGTTAATTTTTTTGTTTAATATATAACAACACTAATTTATCAATGTACCAAAAACTATTTTAGGCATCCGGCCGCCTTTGATTTGAATCGGTCGAAAAATCGGTCCACCTGATTGCTCCTAAACGGGCTCAGCCGCCAATTTTTAGTTTTTTTTAATAATAATTACATTACTTAGGAATCATGTTTTATTCATGATATATTAATAATATATTAATATTAATATTATTTGGACTTAGGTGGATTTATTATAAGTTAAGATAGTTTTATTTTAGATAATGAAGCGCTGCTTGAGTGGTAAGACCTTCACCGAGGTCATGGTTCGAGTCACCTAGAATGAAAGGAAAAATGGGAACACTAGTGATTTTCCTTTTAAAAAAAGAGGATAAAAAAAGATAGTTTTGTTTTGTTTGTAGTGCAAAAAAATAAAAAATATTTTTTTTAATCCTAATTTATAGGCTCACGCTCTAGGCGCTGTTCGAGCGCATAGCGGGCGTTTAGTGACTTGTAGAACACGGGAAGAAGTAATATTTATCAAAATTTCTATCCAAAATGCATTGCCATGGCATAAGTCGAGGTATGGCTCCCCTTGGGTGCCTCAAGCACATGTGGCGAAGCGCCATAGCAAAAGATGTGATCAAGGTTAGCACCTTGGCATGATAACCAGAGTGCCAAGGCGAACAACAATTTGAATAGATTAGTGTTTATGAGCTTATGGTACCATTTTTTACCGACTTCCAACAAAATCATAAGGCACAAGGCTACTTTTAGATTGAGGGTTTATCAAGGGATTTGAAACCTATAGGCTCAAATTTACAAGTTCAAATTCTCATCTATGTTCACATAATAGTAGAAGTTCGAGAATTTTATATTAATGCTAAATAGAATTGTCACTATTTTGGATTTTATATTAGTGCTAAATAGAATTGTCATTATTTTGAGTGATTTTAAGTTACTCCTCAAACATAGTAATTTGAATTTGAAATTTACAGTAGTTTATCTCACCTCACCGCTAGTTTATCTCACCTAACCGCAGTTGACCACACCATTTGCGAATACGACTCTTTATTTAGATCACCACTGCAAGTCAACACCATCGATGAACAATGAATTTATAATCTCTTCCACAAATCCATTCAAGTGGTTTGAAAGTAGAAAATTTGTATTTCAAAAATTCATAATCAAGGGATTTCAATTTCCTTAATCCTAATGTAGCCTAAATTAATATGTGCCTTTTCCTTCCCTACTCTCCCCACCTAAAGGGATTGTAGACCGGATACCGAATTCCGGCGATAGGCAGATACATATCTTTCCCTTTGTTATCCTTGTTTTATGTTTCACTTTCCCTCTTTTTTTAGTATAGTCTTCTCCCTTGTGTGGGTGTATCACTTATATTTTGTGATGAATGTCCTTGGCTTTGCTGATGCTGGAGATGTTTCAGTCAGGTCTGCCAGCAACCTTATTTTTCCACCTTTTTTATTCTTATATCTGAAAAACCGAAGAAAAATAGCTTCTTCCAAACAAAAAATAGTTTCATTCAAATAGTTACATACACAACTGTCATGATTGGTGAATTATATGATATAAAACACGGGTTGGTGTCGAGAACAATACATTAATTCCATCTAAATTCTGATCTAAATTATGCCTGTTGAGATTGTCAAGAACAATACATTAACTGTTTGTCACTGTTTGGTTGGTGTGGGCAAATGAAGTGATGGGTTGATTGATGTTTTGGTGTTTTTTCTTGCTACTTGGTTATGGCATAATCTTTACAAAACCAACTCGAGTTTTTGGGCACTGTGAATCATATGTAAAATTAATCAACTATATTGTTAAATTATGAAAATTAATCAACTCTATAGTTGAAAATTGATCAACTCTCTTAATTCTAATTTTTCGAACCCTATTATATCATCTTTTAGGTCTCGTCAATTTAATAATAGAGTTGATCAATTTTCAACATCTAGTGATACACTCTTAATTTTATTCTTCGAACTCAACTATATAATTTGGAAGAAGGGAGTAATAGGTACATCTATTATATTAGCTTGTGAGTTATGTCATTTAAAGCAACAATTTATCAGACTAGTACTCATTTAGCATCTACTTCTCAACCTTAATAGAATCTGTATATTTCACCATATATTGAGAAAAGATAATAAACATGTACTGAAAACAATGTTGTAAGTTAATGTTTCTGTCTGACACATTTTTTTTCTCCAGAATTTCAGTCCACCACATTTCTCCCGGCAGAGTTCTATTAGATATGGGGAGGGTAACGTGATTGGTCGACACCAGGCAGCTGCCACGAACAAAACAGTACAAAAGCTTTATTCTCTATATGATGCTAACCTACTCACAATTTGAGTATATGGCAAAATTAAGTTCCTGTTGGTGATGTAACTATAGTTCCGAATCTGCAGGACCTGCCACCAGCTTTTCAAGATCATCAAGTGCTTGGTTGACAGCATGAAGGATCATCTTCTTAACCTGTCATATGTATTGGTAATTGTTTTATGAAAATGCAATCCTGTAGAATTTAGAAAAAAGAAAAAAATACAGGATGTGGGAAAGCCACCTCTAATTTATCCTCTCTGGCTTTATGGTCTCTTGGTAGCTTTCTGAACTCCTCGGTTAGTCTAAGGCATTCGTCTAAGTTTTCAGGAGAGACAAAGTCCGAGGCAACTTTGGTACATGACTGCCCAAAATACCCAACTATAATGTCAGTAACAGCGCACTTTAACTGAAAAAATTTGCAACACAAACTTTTTTCTGTAACATGTTTTTTTTTTTTGGGATATTTTAGTAAAATGCAAGTCGAACTTTTTTAATATTTATAATTATAATTTGCAATCTCTATAATATCTCATGTGTGTGGATGTTTATGGTCAAAATGAACTGGAGATTATAAATTATAAATGTTTATGAAGGGTAAGTTGCATTTTATTAAGAAAAATACGAAAGATTGTGAAGTTAAAAAACAACTTTAGTTGTATTTTACCCTTTATTTACCTTTAGATTTCTCACTTGGTGTGGGCAGCCAGCAGGAATGAAAACTGCCTCTCCAAGCTTCTGCTCGAACGTCCATGGTTCAATGCCTGGAATCATAAAATGGGTGTGTTGTTAAATAGAAGATGTATATTTTAATGTCAATTGAATTATCATTTGCTTACCAAATTCTTCCTTGAGCTTAGCTTTGTGTTCTGAATTCAGGTAGAAGGTCTGGTCATGGATTGGGTGAATGACCTGAATGTTAGGCCATAGACCAACATATTTAGTACACAGCTACATGTCAATTCAAAACAAAACCAGAGCTGACAATTGTTCTAAAATTACCTGTTCAACTGGACAGCAATAAGTGTGTCTAAATTCTTTTGAATGTTTAATGAGATATTCTTTCAGTTTCGGGACATCTTCCCGCCTAAAGATGTCCCACAGAGCACCACCTCTGTCCTCTAACGACTGTCCGTCTTTTTGTAGCTCATTTTTCTTTGCTCTGTCATTGCAAGAATTTTCATGTTTTATTTGTGCCCCAGATTCTCGTTCATCCTGATATTTGTGCTTCTCTTTCAATGATTCGATTGCTCGGTATTGCTCTTCACTTAGAGCTACTTCAGCCGTGTGTGTCAATATGTTGACCTGAAACCCAGAGATTTTAGTGAATATTATCTGGTATCAAAATTTAAACAATTAAAACAAAGAAAAAGCATTGTAACTTCACTGTTGAGTGTGTATTTGTGCTTGAAAATATGACGTGCTTCCTAAAGCCAAACATTCAAATGCATTTCGATTGATAAAGAGGGTTGAATGAAAATAAATCATGGAAAGGGAAAAAAAATCCTTTCTCATGAGATGCAATATCCGGCCAAACATCCAAATTCGCGTTTGTGTTGGTGAAAAGAATCTTAATTTTCATAAGATAAAAAATGAGATGGATATACATTCCTAGCTCACCAAAACCAAGGAATGCACAAACTTCAGCAAATAAAATGAATTTGGACATCAAACCATAACCTGCCAATTACACATTGCTTCATAATTGGACTATGATTTCAAGGGGAGGACATCTCCAGTATGCCTGACATGTGGTATATATATATACCAATCACAAAGTAAAAAATTTGTGATCCCAGGTCGTGTTAGCTTTTCACAAAGCACACTGCCAAAAGATATTGCGCAAACATCTTGAGAATTCATTTCACACACCGAATGATGTCATGCAAAACATCCTTGAATTCACAAACTGAAATACGATATTTGCGCAATGTCTTTGGAATATTCGTACCGCATCCGACATGTCACAGTGGAGCTTAGTCACAGAATCCCCTCTCCCCAGCTCCTCTGCGAATCCATAGGCAATGTATGTTTTCGGGCCCATATCGGGCTTTATAACATTTGCCGGCAATTTCACGGCAAGGTTGAGGAGCCCACTCCTCGTGTCTGTGTACTCTTGAAATGGCAAAGCGCGGATGAACTCGTCGCAATGGCGGGGTAATAAATCCTCAAATTTGTCGGACGGGGGCCAATCCTTGAGTTTGAGCATCTCAGGCCAGAAGTTTGCATACCGTCGGCCGTCTGTATATCCTTTGAAAAATTTACGCGTACAGATCTCAACCTGCAGGTGCCAAAAAAATAGATTATGACAGAGGTTCAGAAAGAAAAAAAAATAAAATAAAATAAAGAGATGAGTGACAAATAAAAAAGAACCTTTTGTAAGAGACGAGTGACAATAAACTAGAACTCCTTGTTCAAAGCTGGACATTGTAGAACATTTTGTGAAAAAAAGAAAAATCTCAAATGAGGTAGTCTCACACAAACAATTGAATGTATTTACTTAATACAACACAATTTATATTTAGTAGCCCCACAACTGACCAGAGCTGCTTTTCCATTTCTTTTTGAAGTCAAAAAATTTCTTCCATGTCACGTAGCTCAATTGAAAACAACCAAGGATCCATTTTTGATTTTATCAGGCAGAAAAGAAAAAAGGAAAAAGAGAGACTGGGAACTTATATCACCTCACAACCAGCCAGGCAGTCAATGGCCTTCACGTCCGACATCCTTGAGCTGATATTTTCATCTGTGTGCTCAGACAACGCCCGCCACATGACCATTGGCTCCCAACTCAACCCACTCGATTGGTCAAGAGCATTTCTAACAATCACAGGCTCCCCTCGAGCCCAGTGCCAGCGAAAATGCAGAAGCCCATCCTCGTTCAATATATCCTCTGAGTATGGGCAGCACAAGTTATTATCACCAGATTCTTCTCTAGAAGCCGCTTTGCACGATCTCTCGGGGTCTCCACTGCAGTTTACAGGCTGGGAAGCACTACTAAGGGTTTCATAACACCTACTCATGACTTTCTCAGTCCGTTCAACCAAATCCGAGATCCAGTCTTCCGGAAGGAGACATTTGAGCTCTAGTTCTTGCACGCCACACCCACCCGTTTCTTTGGGAGGACAAACAATGCAACCCTGTTTGATAACCCAATTGAATGGCTTTTTTTGATTTTTTTCAGCTGTCTCTGCATGGCTAGATTCTGGTAATGGGTCCCCACCGTGCATGTAGTCATAGCCTTTGTCCACATAATAATGAATTTCACTGTTGGGCCCCCCAGGAATCTGACCAGCATAAATCTCACGAGAACATCTGATGCAGAGCTCATACGAGCAGTTTGGACAACTCCTATGAAGATCAACTATCGAGGTTGAGCAGTTGTTGCTGTTAAATAAAACAACACAGGAAAATAAAAACACTAAGGCATCTCATGAGATCAATGAACTTCTGAGTGCAAGGTGAAAAGGAAAAAGAATAAAGATCAATCACTTTACCAATACACACGCTCTTCATTATAGCAAGCAGCGCGTTTTACTTCGATTGAAGATAATGGGACATCTGCTAACACAAATAAACGTTCTGTCAGAGAAAGATTTTCGAAATAAATATACCGCCTTGACTTTTAAAGGCACATACTTCGAATTGTGGCCTCCATTTTGATCTCTTCAATTTGCTCTTGATTAATGCTCTGCAGGTGTGGTAGAACTTTTCTGACGAGGTAATGCAGATGTCGAATCTTCTCATCGTCTTTGATATCTCTTTTTGATGTCTGAATCAGAGCACAAAAAATATTTAGCAGATAAAAAAAAATTTGAACAAAGTTAATGATTTATGTTATGAACAAACAAAACCTTCAGGGTGGAAGATGAATGCAAGCACACATTGCAGTTGCATATCCCACGGCAGTATGGGCACACCTCAGAGATTTCCTCTTCTGATAATGTGGAATACCTACGAGTACAAAGAGTTGGAGAAAATTCCAAGGAACTATTCACAACATAAGAATGTCAAGTTAGAATATGCACCATTGCTTAATACACTGCACACAGTAAAATTTTTCATTGCACTCTGAGCATGGAACTACAATTCTTCTATCTGATCTCCAACATTGATGGCATTTCACGCTCTCCTTCATCTGCTTCTGGAAAAAAAAAAAAAAAAAAAAAAANNNATCAAGCAACAACACAATTGAAATATGCACAAAACAGCACAATTGGAATATGCACACCAAAGGAAAATATTTAAGATGTATGCAAGAAATTTCAAGAGAAACCACACCTTTGTGTTCACAGCTAGAAGTCCCTGATTCTGTTTTTTAGAAGTGGATACAGTATAATTCAGGGTGGAGCTTGAGGTTAAGGTTGTTGTTGATGATGATAAATCAGATGAGGAATTGTTCTGAAAATTATCGGAATTCCTTCTCTTGCCCTCTAGACTATCATTTGCTTTCTCCACATCATGAGTTTGGACACTGGCAGATTCACTTCCTCCTAGATTCATGTCAATATACGAAATGAGGTCCTCTTCATCATCCACCCAGTCGTACAACATGAAATTCGTCTCCATAAACTTATTGGAAGAGGACCTGCACCTTTTCGAACTTCTCCGATTATCCTCATTCTGGACATGTTTGCTATTTCCGATTGATACACCCATCCATCGCTCCTTGCTTTCGTCCCACTCTTCATCGCTCTCGCCTCCTTTTCTCCCAATATCTTTATTTTCACAGCCCTTTTTCTCGTTTGATACACCCATCCACCGCTCCTTGCTTTCGTCCCACTCTTCATCGCTCTCGCTTTCACCTTTTCTCCCAGTAACTTTATTTTCACAGGCCTTTTTCTCGTTTGATACGCCCATCCACCGCTCCTTGCTTTTGTTCCACTCTTCATCGCTCTCGCTTTCTCCTTTTCGCCCAATAACTTTATTTTCACAGGCCTTTTTCACTTTTGATACACCCATCCACCGCTCCTTGCTTTCATCCCACTCTTCATCGCTCTCGCTTTCTCCTTTTTTCCCAATAACTTTATTTCCACAGGCTTTTTTCTCGTTCGGTCTCTTGCGACTCGACCCAGGTACACTTTTTCCGGAGGATACGTTTACTACCTCCCGAGAAGTCCTTTTCCGTTTTGAAGGGCCTTCTGTTTTCTTCAGTAACTTTTTCAGCGACCCATAGTGACCTTCAGGCTCCTCATCTGAGTTACCGCGATCTAATAATTTGCCAGAATAAAGAGGATGCCGTCTGTTCTTCAAATGGACAATATTGTCCTCACAATTCTGAATTTTTGAGAGTCTTTTCATGGTTAGGCTTCTTTTCTTTTTTAGGGTCGGATCAGGTGAGTCTTCGGGTTTTGTGGGCAGTAATTTTACGGTTTCTTCATCATCTTCTTCTTCTTCGTCCTCCGAGAAAATAATAAGCTTTCTCCTGCGTGATGTCCCAGGTCTAAGGCCTTTCGACATAAGAGCCATGTTGTGCTGTTCTTGTTTTGCAATTAGTATGGCCATTGCCCGAATCACTGCTCTATTGAAAGGGAAAACAATAAGATAAAACATTGCAATTATTATGAAAGGTTTCTTGTAATCAACTGAGGTAAAGAACAAAATTTTCTCAAAAGAGCAACAAAGTGATAACATTACTCACAAGCCATGACAGACAAGAAATGTGATACGAGTGCCCAAACATATTCAGGCGCGCATTTGCAGATCAATCCTTAAAAAAGGGAAAAAAACTACTGCTTGTTCGTAGATGAATATCGCTTTGTGTTTTCTCAGCAGATAAAGATAATCAATTTTCTTTGCCTCACCAAATTATCAATTCAAGAACCCAGGCACAATCTACAGGCGTTACTGCAATTCCATACACACACAACTGAGTCAAGAGAAATTGAGTCAACGCGCTTAATCCGAATCAACTCGTCAGAAACAAGAGCTACGCCATACAAATCAGCTCAATTAAACAAAATTTCCACAAGCAAAATCCACACTTCAAATCAAACACATCAATCACGAGCCACGACGACATCTCGAACACTTAATTAATTTCTGAGAAAACATACCAAAACAGAAAAAAGAAAAACTCAAGCCCGATCCATTACAAAGGATGCATTGAAATCAAATTGGATAAAACTGAAATTACGGCGCGGCGGACGGATTTTCAATTCACCTGATCAATCGACGGGAAGTTTCTTCACCGGAAATTCGATTTAGTTTCGCCGGTATGTTGGGGAGATTTCTCCGGGGACGAGATAATAAATATAAGAATGAAAAATATTGCTCACAAAAGAAGGAATTGAACAAAAGCAGAAAGGAAACAAATTAGGTCGACACGTAGAACAGAAGCTCCCATTTCTTAATCATTCTGTCAGTGTTTGTAATCGTTAAATCGACATGTAACCGGACCTTAGTATCTTTCAAAAATTTTATAATATATATATAATTAGGTCGGATTTTTGGAACCATGGGCTTGTATCATACCATTCGATGGGCAAGGTTGTTTTTTAGGTAATTAATTAGGTCACATTTTTGGGATATTTTCTTAATAGTGGATTAATGGTTAAGGGTGCCGAATGCCAATGTCCTCGTCTCCTCGACGAGCAAAGGTATTTTGTGCCAAATGCCCAATGTCCTCAATAAAAAGGTTGTTTTGTGCTTGTTGGTAGTCGGGGAGAGTTTTAGGTGGTGATTGTTTATAGTTTCAATAGTAAAAAAACTAGTTTTTATTTGGTTTATTTTTAACTATAGTTAATTTTGAAAAAAAGTGGTGTTGTTAGTTGTTAGTGGATATATTAAAATAATATTCAAATAAAATAATTAAAGTTGATTTGATGTAAAGTAGGAGAAAAATGATTGGAAGTGATAGTTAGTTAGAATTATGTGAGTGGATGAATAGTGAATTAAAGTTGATGTGATGTGTAAGAATGATTGGTTGATATTATTTAATTATATTATTAATATTGAAGATAGTGGAGTAGAGTTAATGTTGAGTTAAATTTGAGTTTTGATTGGATTTTTTACTATTGAATTTATATACAATCACACCCTTAATCTTTATGTATTTTGTGTTTTTTGATTTTGGTTGTGTAGATTGTTTGGCTCTTGTTTAGGCCTTTTGTTTGTGTTGTTGTTTTGTTGCGTGTGCTAATTTTTCTGGACCAGTCTTTTTTTTGTCATTAGTTTCTTCAGTTACGAATAGCATAAGATTGTTCTAGTTCTGTTTGGTGTGGATTGTAATATGTCTGGTGCGGATTTGTTTATAGATTGTAGTTGTCTGTGTGTTGTGTTTTTGTTTGTAGGGGTTGTCTCTTGGAGCCGAATCATCCCTGTCCACTTTGGGCGTTAAGTTACCTAAGATGTGTTTATATCAGTTGACATCGAGGCCTTGTAATTAGTCTCGTTTTCGATATTTATATTATTTCTATCGTTCAAGGAAAAAAAGACTGCAAGATCGATAGACGTAGTTGCGTTCTAATAATATGATGTATATAAATAACTAGTTTCTCAGTATAGTTTGATGTGGACAAATATTTAGTCTCATTTTTTTTTATGTGATGCATTCGGTGACAAATCGCACCGAAATGTAATAAATATAAAAAAAAGTGAACTTAGCAAAAATAAATAAATAAATAATTGTCGCGCACTGCAATTTAAAAAACTAACGAAATCGAAACCATATATATTTTTTTCACTAAAATAGCCGAACATAACCGCACTGAAATGCACGGTTTAGCTCCTTTTTTTTTTATCTCGGTCATTATATACATTTTATTTTATTCAATTTGGCTTGGTTCTGTGTGAAACTGCACTGAATCGAGCACAACCGAACTTATGAGCCATATATATACCACAATTCATCTATTTAAGGAGTTCAAAAACATCCTTTGATTTTATCAATAACTGCACCAAATCTGCTTTTAAAAATTCATATTGTTATTCACAATATCATAATAAATCTCATATATATTAATAAATTATAAAAACAATTAAAATATTTATAATATCCATTATTATAAGTTATAATAAAAAAATAAAATAATATTGACCTAACTAAAAAAATAATTTTTAACTTTAAAATAATATTGTAGTCTTTGGCAGAATTTTTCAGTTAGCATAACTTATTTAGAAATCGACATAAAATATCATAATAAATTATAAGGGAATAGAGAGAAAGAGAGATATTTTGCGAGTATATTATTTATTGACAATGTTTAAAAATGTTAAATTTTCATTATCCGTAACTATAATCAGAAACTCTAAAATGACAATTATTTTAAAACGAGTGAAATAAACATAAATCATATATTCAATTATATATATCATAAAATAAAAGGAAAAATAATATTAATATTCAAAACTATTTTTATACTAATCAATATTATTTACTTGGTTTAATACGCGCATTTTATGTTGAAAAAACAATCAGTTATAAAACTTAGGTTTGACCCGATTTTGACTGAATTTTTTATGGCTAAATATTTAATTCAAACAGAATTAAATTGTGTGGATAAATTACACATTCCAAGCAAATACTTGTGGTTTATTTATTTTATCAAAATTGGTTTTCCGTGAATGAGAAATAAATGATTAAAGTTAGACATAAATTGACACGTAAAATGATTATTGTGAGATTCGAAAGGTCAAAAGTCATTCTTACATTGGACTCTTAAATGAGATAACAGAGGTCACAACAACAACAAAGTTATGCACCAAGTGTTGTTGTTGGCTTCAGCCATATGCACGCGCAGCCAGCCCGTCGGCCAACCGGTCAGCTCGGCTTGGGCTCGGGCACAGGTCTGGGCCTGGGCTTGGGACTTGGTCCTTGGTACTTGAAAATTAGACTGTGGGCCGGTCTCGGGCGGTCTTAGATGGTATGGGCTGGTCTCGGGCTCGGGCTTGGGCCTGGGCTTGGGCCTTGGTACTTGGTACTTGGTACTTGGTACTTTGCAATTGGACTTGGGCGGCCTTGGACGGTCTGAGCCGGTCTTGGGCTTAGGCTCAACCACTATAATTTGTTGCCCAAATTAAAATCCAAACAAAGTTGGTTTTAGACACGAGTTTTGACCCAACCGTGTGACACCTTCCAGTTTTATTGAATTTAGGCGTTTGACATTTCACTTGTCAACCACATGAACGTTTCATGGATTATCAGGTGGATTAAATGTGAGTTAATCACCTGAACGTTTTGCCCATTTATCAGGTGGATTGAATGTGAGTTAATCACTTGAACGTTTTGCCCATTTATTAGGTGGATTGAAGGTGGTTGTTAATGGCTGAGCTGTTACTAGCTGACCACCAAATGTCTCCCACTTGTGTTGGAATTCCTATAAATAGGGCATAGAGTTGTACAGAAAACACACTGAAAATCTCACTCGCATCTCTATCTCTCTGTATATTGATAGTCTCACGCATCATACAACACTTGCTCAGTTCTCAACTATATTCGTGTTCGCCAGAGCTCTGAAGTTGGTGTGCTACAACTTTCGAGTTAAATGATTGTTGTATCTTTAGGGACATTATGCACAGACTCGTTAGCAATACACGGGGCGTATTTGTCTAGTGAAAAAATTTCAATCGCCTAAACTTTAATCTATTCGCTCATTAATTTGTAATTTATTTCTTGTTTTAGTCCATGTTGTACGAGTTGAACTCTTCAGTCAGTTCATAGATTTCCCTGTAACCGAAACACATATTTCGTAGCAATTTATAAGTTTATAATTATTGTCTCGTGCATCGCACGAGCTACTTAAAATACTTGTGAACTTACCTAGATTACCAAAAGCAACCTTTTGACACCATATATGTTTACGAATCCTTTATTTTCCTTTCGAGTTTGTTTCAACATGGAAAAGAATTTCATTTATAAAAATAAATTCACAAACATAAATGTAATTTCATGGGACCATCATAAATGAATCATCAAAATCTTTTGAACGGACAACCCGTGAAACACATAGTATTGCATAAAAAACCAGCAACTAGTAGAAACTAGAACCGCCCAATGGAATATAGGGACTCTCTCATTGAAAACGGATTTTAAAAAGATTGCAATAGAAAAATGGCATATACCTTTCTTGTCAACTTTATTTTAAAAGTATTACTTCGTATAAGTAAACTATTCATTTATTTAATCTTATGAAACACATATACTTGTCTTAAAATAGGGTGGACATAAGTTCATCATACTATTTGTCTTTTAAGAAAAGGCTAAATTTCATTTTTAGTCCACTATGTTGACCATTTTCTGAAAAAAATCCATCGTATAGGGTGTCATCAATAATGATCCACTAAATTGTCACTTTTAATCAAAACTCGTACAGTTGCCAACACGGTGTACTAAAAGTGATTATTACTTTTAGTACACCATGTTGGCAACTGTACGAGTTTTGATTAAAAGTGACAATTTAGTGAACCATTATTGATGACACTCTATATGATGGATTTTTTCGAAAATGGCCAACATAATGGACAATTTTTGAAATTTTGCCTTTAAGAAAAGGACCAATTGGTTAAATTAAGAATTGATGGTGGGATAAACACTTTTTTTCGAGTTACTGAATTAAGGGATGAACAAAATCGAGTCGAAATAAAAAAATAATCGACCGAACAGATGTATTCGATGCAATTCGATTCAATTTCTAAACAATTCAGTTTTGGTGCAGTTTAAACCGAACACACCGAATATCATATAGTGTCAACCGTCGTCTTCCACCTCCTCGGCCTCCTCCTCTTCGCCGCCTCCGACGACCTTGAAACTCTCCTCCAAATCAAACCCTCCTTCCGAGACTCCAACCTCAAATCAATATTCGATTCGTGGGCAGACAACAAGTTCCCTGGAATTACCTACGATTCTGGCGAAAAAGCAAAAAAGAGGAAAAACATGGACGAAATATGGATGACCTGAAATCGGCATTGAGGCTCAACATAAGTCGAATCGTGAACTATATGCAGCACGCGCGACATTCGAGTTTCCATCTCGTCTTCCCATACATTAAATCGGAGCCTTGGGAGAGCTTTGAGCAACGAGCTCTTTCCAAAAAGGTACTACATGTAACAGTTACCTAGTTTTATACTCTGATTGGGGAAAGAAATTAAGAGACAATTATACGTCATATGTAAAAATAAAAATCTTTAATTACAATAGAATTAGAATAAAATAAATCACATAACATTATTAGACAAAAAATATATTAGGTGCATTGCATGTGTACTTTGGCCCTTTCCCAAACCATACACAAGGCCCAATTATTGATAAGGTTAGGATAAATGTAACCACACAAAGGAGGTCCCAAACTCAATGTTTTAATGCGCTCAAACATGCGAGGGGAAAAAAATCCCTTGCTATTGATAGAAGATATCTAGAATAATGTTACTTGTATCTCTTGGTGTATCATTTGGTTTACATCCAAACATGTACCTATTTACCCTTAATGATTTATTTATCAAGGTTAAATGGGTACATGTACCCCTTGAACTAAATTATTCATTAAGGGTAAATGAGTATATGTACCTCTTGAAGGTAAACCAAGTGGTACATCAAGGGGTACATGTAGCATGATCCTATTTTTTATTGGTTTGGTTTGTTTAATAAAAAATTTATCTTATTAATATTTTTAAATAAAAATGTGTTTGATATATTTAAAAAGTATTTTAAAGTAATTAAATAAAAAGTAATTATTATCATTATTATTATTATTATTATTATTATTATTATTATTATTATTATTATTATTATTATTATTATTATTATTATTATTATTATTATTATTATTATCAAACAAAAAATATTT